AGAATGCTGTGAGTCATGCATGTGTCAACCATGTGTGTCTACAACTGTTATCTATACTTAAAGTACTTAAAGCCAAATTTGTTTGATTATTATTTACTGTAAAGAATTGTCTGTAATCACCCTGGGATGTTTTTCATATGAGCAGATAGTCATATGTGGATTGCTGTCAATGTTTTTATTATTATCATTTTTTGATAAAAAAGGAAATCTTCTGAATTTCAATGGAATCGATGACCAGTTTAAATCTGAGTCAGTAAAAGGTTTGGGAAGGCATGTTAGGTCATTTCCTGCAGAAACTTACTAAGTGAATGCCTGATGTTTTGCTCTGTTCGTAATGCAAATAGACCATATTTTGAGGAATTCAAGATTAAGATACTTGGTTAAGGTACTAGATTTATAGTTTTCAGCTTTCTTTGATACTGATGATACATAAACACTGTACATACTTCTATAACATTGACAAAGGCTTGGAAATATATATATATATATATATATATATATATATATATATATGTATGTATTTTTAAATGCCGTAAGAGTTCATTTTCTAGGGGGGTGTAATATTTAATGATATTGTATGAGTTAGATTCATTCTGTATTTTATGTTAGACTTACACTAGTTTCTGTCATTTAAAAGTTTAAAACCAGTGAAAGTGAGTTCATTCCTCCTCCTGTCCTCTACAGAGAACACATTTCACATCTACTCTGTACTATTACTATTTATTTGCAGAATTCAACATATTGAGTAAAATGTGGCACATTTTAAATATATTTCTATTTTTTCCAATAAGTTCAGCAAATAAACAGTAATTCTGCATTAAAATGTACATTAGTGCGTTCTCTGTAGAGGAGGTTTTAACTTTTTACTTAACTAACAAAATGTTATTTTGCGGGTTGTGTTGAAACTTCTGCATGAAATTATATTCATAGTTCTCCAGATAAAATGAGACACGCACCCACACTGTCTGAGAGTGACTGACGCATGATCAAATTTCCCCCAAACCTTTAAAATTCCCCTAAGCTATGAGATCTTCAGCCGCCTGTGTCATTGCCTTAAACAGGCCTTGCCTAAAACTGCTCCCTCCCTGCTGCTGCGCTCCATTTTCTCCTTTATCTCCCCATTCTCCATGACTTGGAACGTCTGGAAAATTAATGTTTGGAAAATGTATTGTTTGGCAGCATGCATCAGTTGTTAGGCGACCAGGGCGAGCTAACACAGTTCCTTTTGACCAACAACAAATAAATGACAAATAATTAAAATTTTAAGTTAGTGTTGTCAGATTGGGCAGATTTTGGCTGGATTTAGTGTGCTTCATTATACAAAATTTGGGCTGGTTTGTCATTATTTAGGTGGGTTTTTAAAAGTATATAAAATTAATAAACTGCATTGCTTAATATATAAACAATAATGTAGACAACTCATGAAAAATGACATTAACCATGGTAAGACATACTTTTAATAAAGCCAAGATACCTATTTACATACGAATACAGTCTACCACAGCATGTAAACATGTAGTGAGACACAACAAATCCATGTACATCTAGATACATCTAGTACAAAAAAAGATGTAATAAATAAGGGGGGATGGTGGGGAAAAGTAAGTCAACACATCCTCTACTGAGAACACACTTTGGCTCATTTTCATGCCCAGTTACTGATCAACTGTTCACTTGCTGAATTTAACAAAATTGTGGCTCATTTTATATTAATATTTTTTCCAGTAAGTTAAATTCAGCGAATAAGCAGTAAGTGTGAATTGAAATGTGCAGAAGTGTGTTTTCTGCAGAGGATGTGTTAACTTCCTTTCACTCAGAAAGTCCACAAAACATAATTTGACTGTTAAATATTTGCATACGACTAGGGATTTGTGATCAGACCGCCATCTGTTATTTATTTACCTGGGATAACATAAGATAAGCTCTGTGGAACTCAACAGTTATATGACATGACATGAGAGTAGGCAGGCCTGGTCAGCAGTAGCTAATAGGATACTCCAGTATTATAAAAACACTTAACCCCTTAACATCCCAGGCTTAGTACATACCAAGCCTTATTCTTCAGTAACTACAGGGACTTCAATGCAGTGATGTGCTAGAATAGATTTACATGCTTCAGTTTTCCAAAAACACATTCATTTTCTCATACTGTACATCTACATTCACCCTCTGTCTGAAACGCTCCGTTAGAGCTCCTGTGTCTTTAAAAGAGCCCAGTCTGCTTTGATTGGTTAGCTCGTTCACTCTGTTCTAATTGGTCAACTGCCAGAGTGGCATCCAGCTACAAGTTCTGTCCCTACAGTGCTGTGGTGCTGCTAAGTTGCCATTGTTGGGCCAATAGACAAGGCACTTAATCCTGTCTGCTCCAGGGGCACCGTATCATGGCTAACCCTGCACTCTGACCCCAGCTTTCTAAGCTGGGATATAAAAAGAGAAGAACTTTGTTGTACTGTGCAAGTAAAATGACAATAAAGGTACTTAAGCATAGTTCCCACAACTGCAATTCTCCATCACTAGTTGACACCAACATAGCATTGCACATCTACTACTTAGCATTATTTATATTTTCACTGTCCAAAGAAAAACAAGTAAATCTCTAAAATAGTATCTTTACAGGAATGGCAAAAACATTCTTAACCTTTACTGTAATGTAATGTAAAAGGGGTTTTATTTGACGTGATTGTGGAGCATTTCTGTGGGTCCAATCAACATGCAATGTTCACATGCTGGGTTCAAATGATACATAAAAAATGGACAGAATTGTAGATACATGTTTTTCTTTGGACAGCGATGATACACTACGCATTTCTATTTCTTTTTTGCTGCCTCCTTTGTCTTGCAGCCGAAATCCTATTGCCAAAATCAGATTTTTTGGCAGCTATCAGATTATTTTGTTCCTCATGATTATATGTAAACATACTCACTGTAAAACTGCAACACTGTAACTGCAAACTGCAATAAACAACATTCAAAATGTTTGATACAAGTTTTAAGCAGGAATTTACATGATCAAAGACTACTCACAGAGCTTAAAACTGAAAATATTATCACTGCATGAAAACTGATGTTTCTGGGAATTTTCTGATCTGCACACATGAATTTAAGTGTCCAGGACATGTACGGAAATTTCTTAATGTTGTGTGTGCAGCTCGAACACACGTGTGTGGGATTTCTGACTACAGTACACGCCCGATTATGCATAAATATTTTGTTTTCTGTTTATATAATCTTAAACCTATGACTATTATGACTGTGTATGTAAATAAAAACAGAATGTAATTATTTGAAAATCTCACAGACCCATATCTTATTCACGATAGAACATAGACCACATATCAGATGTTGAAAGTGAGACATTTTACCATTTCATGAAAAATATCAACTCATTTAGAACTTGATGGCAGCAACGCATCTCAGACAAGTTGGGACAGGGTCACGTCAACCATTGTGTAGCGTCCCCTCTTCTTTTAACAACAGTCTGTAAACGTCTGGGAAGTGAGGAGATCAATTGCTGGAGGTTTGGGAAAGGAATGTTGTCCCATTCTTGTCTGATGTAGGATTCTAGCTGATCAGCAGTCCTGGGTGTACTTTGCTGGATTTTTGCTTTCCTGATGCGCCAAATGTTTTCTATTAGTGAAAAGTCTGGACTGCAGGCAGGCCAGTTCAGCACCCGGACTCTTGTTCTGCAAAGCCATGCTGTTGTGATGGATGCAGTATGTGGTTTTGCACTGTCTTGCTGAAATATGCAAGGCCTTCCCAGAAAGAGACGCTGTCTGGATGGGAGCATATGATGTTCTAAAACCTCTGTATACAGTTCAGCATTGATAGCGCCTTTCCAGATGTGTAAGCTGCCCACACCATAAGCACTAATACATACCATCAGAGATGCAGGCTTTTGAAATGTGCGCTGTAAACAAGCTGGATGGTCCCTCTCCTCTTGAGTCCGGCGTCCGTGGTTTCCAAAAAGAATTCCAAATTTTGATTCATCTGACCACAGAACAGTTTTCCATTTTGCCTCAGTCCATTTTAAATGAGCTTTGGCCCAGAGAAGATGGAGGCGTTTCTGGATAGTGTGATTTCTGATAGTGTTCTTGAGCTCATTCAGTGATTTCCAGTACAGAATCATGCCTGTTTTCAATGCAGTGCCGGGTCTATGAGATTTGCAAATCATTTCATTCTGTTTTTATTTATATTTATTTACATTTTACACAGCGTCCCAACTTTTCTGGAATTGGAGTTGTAAAAGACCACTATTTTCCTCCTGTTTTGTTTCCACAGTTTGGTGGCAGACACATAGTTGACCCAGTAAATTATGTTATATTCGATCTTTAGGTGGTTTTGAATTAACATTCATTTTGAGGAGCAGAAGGAACATGAACTTCACCTTTCACCCCAAATCAGCAAGCTGACTGCTGTTCAAAAGCTGGGGTAATTTGCTAAGCTAATGTTGCTATTAACGTCAAGTTAGCCAGTTAATGCTAACTACCTAACTTTAGCTAGCTAATGGTAGTGGAGTGGTGTGTCATAGGGCTTGACTGAATATCCACTTCTTACAGTATATCAATATACAATATATAATATATTTTCAAATGAGACAATACGTTTATATTGACATAGATTGATGTTACGTTAAAATACATAATCCGTTTCTTCTGTAAAGTTATGCCAGTGTTTCCATATCGCCCCGCCCCTAGTGTGTTTTGTGCTGAAAACACTCAATATTCTCAGACGTAGGTACTTTTCCAACCTTATTTGAGTTTACTGTGAGCGTGTGTGGAGTTTGTGTATTAAATAAATGAAAACGGAACAGCTAATAACAGCTAGCCATCTGTTTTATCTGCAAAGGATTTGTGAACCAAAATCAGGACGGAATGTTTTTGGCCATTTGTGGGGCGCATTTACTCCCAGAAATGTGCATTTTCATGCAGTGAATTGACTTGTTTTTGTATTAAACACTGCTATGCAATGACATCCTCAGCTGAATATGCACAGCGATCAAAGCCACTGGGAATCTTCTTAGCCAACTGTGTAAATCAAGAGTGGCTTTATTTTCTCACATCTGATGCAGCTTCTTTCAATTTGTTGGGTTTTGAAACTACGGCATAAATGGTTTCAGGCTTCGTAAATTGAATCTATGTGATTAAAAAGACACAGAAAAAGTATGAGTATATAACATTCAAAGAGTTTGCAGATCCATAATCAAATCAAAGAATTATCATACAATAAAACATGTTTACAGGTTTTCTCAACCAACAAAAGTATCACAAACTCTTGTATGGATATCAACACTGAAGCTTCTGCACTCTAAAAGCTCTTTAATTGAATGCATGGCCTTTTAGTTCTCCCTACCTGATCTGGAACTGATTCATAGGTGTTAGGAACAGTGATATCCGCTGAGGTTGACTGCTTGAAGAAAAGAAACAACATATGATGAATAAAAATAGTATCAGCAATAACAAAGTATGATTCAAAGCTACTACATATATAAGCTCCTTTTGTAAAAACTGAAGGACTGAATGAGGTTAAATAATATAGTCACTTAATCAAGTTACAAAATGTAAACAAATTTGGCAGAGACAAGTTGGGAAATAATCATATAGAGGCCTACTGTTAGAACAGAACTGTATTAAGACAAAATATATACTTTTCTTACATTTTCAGTCTTACTGATTATGTATATACAGTGTAACAGTGTATATACAGTGTACACTGTGCAAAAGTCAGTGTCAAAACAGCCATTAAGTACAAGTTATTCATTTTTAAATATATATTTCTAAGGTGCTTAGATATACGATAATCCACTTACATAAGAAAAGAGAAAGATTTAAGAAAATAAGTGAAAAACTATGAATGATTAAGCTACAAAAAGGGAAATGGGACCCCTAACAACCATGCAAGACCTGATAGACCACCAAAACTGACCCCATCAGATAAACAGCACTTAAAGCTTTCATCTTTGAGAGAGATGAGAAAAACAAGCTTCACTCTTGCTTCAAATCTAAAAACACTGACAGGTGGGATGGTAGCCTAGTGGTAAGAGAGGTTCAAACCCCAAGAGACTGATTGGACATTCCTGTTTGTGCCCTTAGGCAAGGCATTTAACCCACTTAGCCCCCCACTGCTCTGCCGCTGATCCTGTGCTGTGTAGTTAGGCAGCAAAATGACAAGTTTCCCCTTGTAGGATCAATAAAAGTCTAACATAACATAGTCCATAGTCCTTCTTGGTGCTATGGAGCTAAAAGGATGTGTAGCTGCAAGAAGCCCTTACTGAGAAAAAGAAATAAACAAAAAAGAATAAAATGTGCAAATCAAACAAAGAAGCTTCTGACGTTCTCAGAACAATTAACTGACCACCCCAGAGTCCAGACCTCAACATCACTGCGATTAGTGAGAAACAGAAGAAGACACAACTTCCACAGCTTTGGATAATATCTCTGCAGATTTCTCTGAAAAACTGAAAGCAAGCCTCCCAAAAAGAATGCAAGGCAAAACATGGACACACTAAATACTGAAAAATGCATATTATATTTAATTGTTGATGTTTTAAATAGGTTTTCTGCTTTGTTTCCTGAAGCTGAAAAGTGAATAACTTGTACTTAATGTCAGTTTTGACTGGAAACAAAAAAAAAATGGAAGGTGGTCTCTGACCTTTGCACAGTACATCATAAGACACAGTCAGTGATGCATTTGAAAGAGCAGAGGAGCACAGAACATGCCTTAATGTGGCCACAGTATGCACTGTAAATGAATCTAAAAGTAATATTCTGTTTACTAAACCTTTAGCTAATCACACAAACTGTGCATACAATTGCGTACTAATTATGCTGACTAGTGAGGCTCAAGGTTTAAATGGTGCCATAAAACATATTTTGTGCAATCCTCCATTAAATATATATGTAAATGGGAGAGAAACTGCTGGTGCAAATGGGTTATAGGCTCATATCTATCCTGAACAAAGCAGACAGCTTTTTCCACACTGCAGCTCTAATCAGGCCTTTTAGAAAGTGAATAAAAATGGTTGCACAAATATTTTCCTCTAGTTTTAACTGTATTGCTTTTTACAGCTCCAACTGCATCAAACAGCCCTGACTCTGGCACAATTGTCATTAAAACATTATGAATGATCAATCAGATGTCAATTAAATGACAAATTTCTGTATATGTTTGGCCATTTTCACCTCATTTTCAGGAACTGGAGTCTGACTGGATTGTCCATTACTTGTAGGTTGTGGTTTCCTCCCTACAACACTGTACTCAGTCGAAGGGCCCTCCCGCGCCATAGCTGGAGCTGCACCACTATTCTGTAAACATGATTAAGTCACATTGTCATTTATAAACATAACAAGCTGTGTTTCATGTTACTTTCCATAAAATATCTGGCACAAATTAACAAAATAAACCTTAAATCCATGAATTCAGTACTTACTGACATTAATGTCTAAATATCTACAGAAATAAGAATTATTTAAATCTTACCTCAACTTCTGCATAGACTGTGTTCTCACACTGTGTGCGACCTACACAGTTTTGATAGAAAAATGAAAAATTAACCCCTTAAGTCACAGATGAAAAGTAAGTGTAGATGCAATCCTAAATTTCCAAAGCTATTTTGTCTAACTGCCATATAGAGTTTATTACTAATGCACAGTTTGTCTTACAGGTTAAATTACTATCATGAGGCCCTAACAGACATTTCACAATGAGTAAAAAGAAGGAGTAAAGGACCGTACCGCTCCACAGTTCCTGTACGATCCTGACCAGCCCAGATTCAGCCTTGTCCCAAATCTTTTATGATCACCTGTAACTCATTTGTTCCGCTGCATGTGTTTCTGGGTTGAGTTTTTCACCTCATTTTGATCCTCTGTTATTTTGTTTATAAGTATAGGTACAGCCTTTTTATCTTCGCCTGCTTGTTTTCTGACATAAATCTGAGGGTTCCTGGAAATAAATGTACTTACACCCAGTCCCCTCATCCCTAAAAACAACAATATACTAGGCCTAAGGAAAAATGAACAGTACCAACATAGGAAGAGCCAGATAAATATTATTAAATAATAAAATATAGGTGTCAGGTTTTAGAGACAACTCTTATAATCACAGCACTGTGTAAATTCACTGACACTCATACAGAACATAATATAGAACAACAGCAGTTTGTCTTGCCTTGATTTTCTTTACCATCATACTAATTACTTTATACAAGCTCAAATACAATCTTATTATATAATGACTAAATGGTCTGTCTCACTCAATGAATGTTCAGTATGATATATTTATATGATAACACCCCTTTCCCACTACCTGCAGTTTAAGCACATCACTAAGACTTGTAAATCTAATAAAACAGAAAGTGAGAGATAAATCTATTCATGACAGCATTATTGAGGCTAATTGGTCAAAGTTGGTCAAATACCCAAGCTCAACAGTAAGCTGTTCACAGGGTTTACTAGCTTGGCTATGAAAGAAGGTTAAATTAGATTTAAGACTTTTTTTGTAATGATTTAATAAGAAATGAAATGTGGTAAAAGGTAAGTTGAAGGCCTACTGGCCAAGTAATTACGGGGCTTGCAAAGCAAAGCACTGTACTAGCCTTCTTCTGCTTCTTATGCTCTGTCTTATCCTGCATGTAAACACAATCACTGAAGTAGCTTTTTATCAATTGAGAAATAGTGCTAAAGTTTGGCCTTTTCCATCTCAGAACGATGCAGGGAAACTTGGTTATGCATTTGTTACAAGCAGTGTTCATGCTTCATAAGAAAACAATACATCCTTTACAACTTGTACTAAATGCAGCAGCACACATCCTAACAAAAACAAAAACGAGAGATCACATCACTCCCGTTTTAAAGAACTGCACTGGCCACCTGTGTCTTTCAGGATAGATTTTAAAGTTCTGCCACTAGTTTTAAGGCTCTAAATGACCTTAAACCACTGCTTACATCACAGAATGTCTGTCTGTTTATGTTCCAGCATGTGACCTTAGATCTGCAGATACTGACCTTCTGCAAATACTGTCAGTAAAATACAGAAAACATGGAGAGACTCGTTCAATTATTCTGCTTCTAAACTGTAGAACTCAACTCAACTATGGACAGTCAAGCTCAGTGCTCATTTTAAGAAACATTTAAAAATGTATCTCTTTAACCTCTTATGCTTGTGGGTGTATTTCAGTTTTTCCATCTGAAGTTACATGCCCAAATCGTAAGGCAAATTATTCAGTAACTGTGTGAAATAAATGTAAGTTTTTGTTTTTTTTGTAAAATCTCCCCTCAAATTAACAGAAAATGTGTTTTATGATCATAATCATAATGCTGTATGCTTATAATTTACTGATGAAAGGCAATAATCTTAGACGCTCTTTGCATTTGTTTATAAAAATCATTTTTACAGAGCAGATCATTGAAGAGACACCATCTGAGATCCAGTTTATAGCTCAGATTTCTGGAAAAATGGGTCAACTTTCAGTAGAAAAAAAAATTCAGAGTTCAGTTTCTTTTATTATAAAGTTTTAAAACTACATTACCCATCTATTTGACTGTGAAGAAGACAGTTACAGCTCTCATATAACACCCACCTTTTCAATGAAGCTTATGAAATATGAAAGTTATGAAGTAAAGAAAATGACAAAGGGTGTTTCAGAACCACCGGTGGTTCCCCAGAGTTAAAAAGGTTAACTTAGTGTTCAATTAAAATTCTACATCTCTTTGGTATTTATCTTTTTTGTTCTGAGTCAGTGTCTTATATGATTTAAATTAGTACTCATAGTTTTTGCTATTACTGTTAAGCTTTATCACCTGTCTGTAAAGCACTTTGAGCTGCCACTGGTATCAAAAGTGCTCTATAAATAAAAATATTGTTGTCATTAACAACACCCAATCAGATGTCTATAAATTTACCTACTGGAATATGAATTATAATTATCTTGAATGAATTTTAAGTATTTGAAAAGGAAGTTTGTATCTGAAACAATCTCCATTCCTGTCTGGGTTTATTTGTAGATCTATCCTTATAATTTTAACAAAATAAGAGCTCTCAAAATGAAAAGAGTCCTTTGTGTTTGGTGCATTCTGGAAGTCTATTTCCAAATATACTATGATTTTTATGCTCAATGACTAAATTATTTTATTTAGGTTTGAAAGTTCATTGTATTACAGTTTTGCCATTTTGAAAGTGATTTTTTTTTCCTGAATATCTAAAAACTGCACTGAATCCAGACAGAACAGATCATTTTTTGCTTTCTGTTTTGAGACATTCATTTTCAGCTGGTGGGCTGATATGTACTTTAGTAGAATTCACTTTTTGAAACCATGTGATATTGTAAAATCCCAGTTTAATTTCAATGAGTGCACTCAGGTCATTTAAGAACTGTATGATTTTGAGCGAAACCTCTTAACTACATGCAGTGCATCAAAGAATGGCCACTGCAGAGCATACAAATACTACAGTACACAAAAGCAACAGCATGCAGGAATATGAAGTAAGGAGTAGCTTTAGTAAAGCAAGGATTGCAGAGCAAAAGATTTTCAATATGTGCTTTTCTTTAGCAACCCTTTAGAAAAGGGTTTAGGCAAAAACTGCTCTTTTATAGTGTTATAAAATATATCCAAAGTAATAGGAAATGGCAGTTTAAAACATTGTTTTTCTAAAATTTATTGGTTTGTTTTTATTTCCTTCAGCAAATTAAGCATAATAAAATTCATGGTGTTTTTTGTCCTATAAGAAATAAACAAATGTGTTTATAAACTCTGTCCTTTCTATCTGTGCACAAGCTATTGTATTCATGTTATTGCACCAAAAATTACCAGCTTTAGCGCACAGTCAGTATTTATCTATTAGTCTTGGTATATGGGAGCAGGTGCTTTATTATAATGATCTCCTCCCAGTATTTTGCACTATGAGAGGGAAACTCCTCCAACTGCATATGTGATGAGACAAAACTGCAAAATAGCAGCGACCACCCCTTTGACCTTATTATGGGCTCTGAAGTGCCACTGCACCTGTTTAGTAAACCACAACAGACAATTTTAAACACCAAAATGGAGTTTGTGATGGTGTAAAACAGTAGTAAGTCTGCTCTGTAGTGTATTTCAATCTACTCATATTAATGTAAGGACTTCTTCCCAGTTCTGCTCTGACTAACGTAACACTAAGAAATAAACATAAGAGTACTATAAACATAGTGCTGCTATGCCAGAGGACTGGCCCATTTTCTGTGTATGCTAAATTGATGTGGTTCTAGAATTGAAAATAATGGTATTTTACTGAGCAGGCCTTCTCATATGAGCTTTATAACGATGATCTAGAAAAGATTTCTCTTAGGACTGATATCAATAAATACCACATTAGATACATTTGCTGATTAGGATGAATTAAACACAAATTGAACATGCATTTTAAATAAAATAAAAAACAATACCTGTTGATCTTTTCTGGTGACAATGTAAAAAGATGATGATGATGATGATGATGATAACAATTAGAAAGGATCCCACTGCAATCGCAACTAGCCAAATAAAGTCTGAGCCAGTGTTGGACGGCTTGTCTCCTCCTAATGGATGGGGAACTATTATTAATCTTACAACAGAAGTACAGAATGGGTTAATGGGTTAAAAAATGGGATGTATTTGTGTTTGAGCATGTGTGTGTATGTCTGTGTGTGTGTATGTGTGTGTGTGTGTGTGTGTGTGTGTGTGTGTGTGTGTGTGTGTGTGTGCGTGCACACCTTCATCAGCACAGAGTCGTTTAAGTTCTTCCATCTCCAAAACTTCCTTCTTCCAGCTGGCTGGGTTGCTATGGTTACAGATGATGGTGCTGCCATTGACAGAAAGGGAAAGGGTGACGCCTCCAGGTGATGTCACTTCCTCCTCCTCACAGGTTTCGTTATAGCAGCTGGAGTTGATAGAGAGGTCATGACCTCTACAGGTGAGAGTGATGTTACAGGCGTCTCCGTTTAGCTGGTGAGTCAGGACTGGAGCCTCCACTGGATCTGAGGTACACATACATGCAGATCACTGCAGTGCTGGTTATCACATTGAGTGTGTTAACATGCACTTAATAATCTGATAACTGTAGAAAAATCAGATTTTGTCGATAATCCGATCAATGCGTTTACATGCACTAGAGTGGTCAGATAATGGGAAAACTCCAGGTCTACATGAATCAGGCAGTAATTAGATTTCTGTTTTTTAACCTGCCAATAAACTCACTGAATAAAACATGAATGACGTAATGTAAACCTCAAATTACAGGCCATGGCTTTTTTTTTTTTTTAAAACATTGCTCCACTTTGCCTGAAAATATGAAAATTCATCATCTAGAAGATGAAGAATATTTAAATCCTTCATTTCATCAAGCATGTAGTTGGTTTCAGCGTCGCTCCAAAAGTGTTTTGCTGCATCTCTTTGCAACACTGCTTGCTTATTTCTGGTACCATGATCTGTTTTACACATGCACAGACTGAGAAATCCGAAAGAAATCCGGATAAGAGTTTACAAGCACTGAGAAATCTGATTACTGAGCTAAAATCCAGCTCTCTTTATCAGATTTCTTAATTGGATTTGTTGACGGTCTAAGAAATCAGAGTATGCTGTTTACATGACCATTTCAATAATCAGATTACTGCAGAAATCCTATTATGATTGGATTACTGAGCGCATTTATCACTTGTAAGTGAGCGAGCAAGTCAACATTTATTGGTTTGATTTGCAGAAAGCTGTGATTGTGCTGTTTGTTTTATCTCAGCATGGCCATCTTTGTGGAGAGGTGTGAATTTTTTTCACAGCAGGGGGTTCGCACTCCTGCCCTTTCACCCCTTATAGCTCACTAGCAGCATTTCAAACATAGAGAGACAATTTCAGTTAATCTGAATCCTGAAACAGAATATTTTATTTGATTATATTAATTCAAAATATCCCAGATTTTTTTCTCTTTCTGTTGAAAGACTGGTACTGGGGGGCTGCAGAATGAGGTTAATAATACAATATTGCAACTACCAGTTCATGCTATGTTGTTGCTTATATACAAATGTTTTACTTTCTATAACGTTTGTTTCATTTACACTAATATTATGAACAGTGTTGGGATCATGCAGTACAAAACAAACAAAGCAGTGTAACACATACTTTTGTCTGTCCATATTATCTGTACTCATCCTGTGATGCCTCGCTGTGCAGCTTTGGTTGTGAATATGAGCAGTTCTGTCCCCATGCTGAAGGAGAGCCCCAACCTCACTCAGGAACAGCTCTGTAAGCTTTACTTCGTATTCATAAATAATTTATTTTAAGGGGATTGCATTAAAATTGTTTATCTGCAATTTTTTCAAATAGCACTAGCTAAATTCATAATTTTAATCAAGCACATATAGATATGGTTTTTCAGAGTAAAGGCAGACATAGTGATGTCTTTTAAATTATTTTTTACTGTCATTGGCTACTTCATCCTACAACCCCATTTCCAAAAAAAGTTGGGACGCTGTGCAAAATGTAAGTAAAAACAAAATGCAATGATGTGCAAATCATTTAAACCCTGTATTTCATTGAAAATAGTACACAAATAACATATCAAATGTTGAAACAGAGAAATGTAATTGTTTTTTGAAAAATATTTGCCCATTTTAAATTTGACACCAACGATGCATTCCAAAAAAACTGGGACTGGTGCAGCAAAAGGCTGGTAAAGTTGTCTAATGCTAAAAGAAACACCTCGTGGTTGATTGGCAACAGGTCAAAAAACATGATTGGGTATAAAAAAAAGCATCCTAGAGAGTCTTTCAGAAGTAAAGATGGGGAGGGGTTCACCACTCTGTGAAATGACTTTGTGGGCAAACAGTGCAACAATTCAAGAAACATGTAAACTAGCAAAGAACTTTTGCTTTTCATCATCTACAGTACATAATGTCTTTAAAAGATTTAGAGAATCTGGAGAAATCTCTCTATGTAAGGGACAAGGCAAAAAAAAACAGTATTTGCTTGCCGTGATCTTTGGGCGGCATTGCATTAAAAACAGACATGATTCTGTAGTGAAAATCACTGCATGGGCTCAGGATCACTTCTGAAAACCACTGTCTGTAAAAAAAACACTTTGTCGCTGCATCCATAAATGAAAGTCAAAACTCTAAAACACAAGGTATAAACCAGAAATAAACAGGATCCAGAAATGCTGCCACCTTCTCTGGGCCCGAGCTCATTCAAAATGGACTAAGGGGAAGTGGAAAAGTGTCCTGTGGTCTGACAAATCAACATTTGAAATTCTTTTTGGAAATCATGGACACTGTGTCCTCCGGGCTAAAGACCACTCAGCTTGTTATCAGTGCACAGTTCAAAAGTCAGTATTCATCAAGGTGTAGGGCTGCATTAGTGCACATGGCATGGGTGACGCGCACATCTGTGAAGGCACCGTTAATGCTGAACGATATAAACATGTTTTGGCAACATATGCTGCCATCCAGACGACATCTGTTTCAAGGAAAGCCTTGCTGTCTGCAGTCCAGACCTGTCACCCATTGACAACATTTGCCATATTATGAAATGAAAAATATGACAAAGGAGACCTCTAACTGTTTAACAGCTGAAATCCTGTATCAAACAAGAATGGAAAACAGTTCACTTTCAAAACTACAGCAGTGTCTCCTCAGTTCCCAAATGCTTACAGAGCTGGTGCTGAAGAGGTGATGAAACACAGTGGTAAACTTGTCCCCGTCCCAACTTTTTTGGAACATGTTGTTCGCATCAAATTCAAAATGGTCATATATTTTTCAAAAAACAATAAAATTTCTCAGTTTTAACATTTGATATGTTGTCTTTGTACTATTTTCCTTTAAATATATGATTTACATGATTTGCATATCATTGCATTCTATTTTTATTTACATTCTGGACAGTGTCCCAACTTTTTTGGAAATGGGGTTATAAATAGAATACTAAGAAGGCTGCTGTGTTTTCCTTCCAAATGTTTATGGGTTTGGACAGTAAAGTTAAAGTAAAAGTAATGAGTAGTGAGATTACTTTTATAGGAAGTATAGAGTAAAGTAATCCTATTACAGTCTGAGAGAAGTAATTAGTCATTTGTGATGATCTCTTTTTTGAGTAACTACCCCAATCTTGTTTGTGAACGTCCTTTGTTTTCACAAGTAAACATCACAGGCAAATTTTGAAATGATCAGTTCTCTCTTGTTATAAGAGCTTATAGCTCAGCTTATATTACTGTATGTATATGGTTAAATAAAGAAAATAAACTTAAAGATTTTGACTGATAACAGCAGGTTTTGTGTCAGGAATGCATTTTTCCTGGCCTTAAATCTCACACTGTAAGACTTACCCAACACAGAGAGTCTGTACTCAGCAACAACTCTGACTTTATTACCAGATGCTTTTGCTTCATACAGTCCGCTATCAGTCTTCTGTAAGTTCTTCAGTGTCAGACTGTAGGTTTCCTCATTGAACTCCACTCTGCCTTCATAACCAGGAGTCTGTTCCGTTTTTTTTAATTCAGTATAATATTTTAGAACATTATTATTCTTGTTAAAAACCCATAATAATTCATCAAACTCCAGTACAGGATGCCGTATGTCCAGTTGAACAGATTTGTCAACTAATCCAAACACTTCACTGGACACTGTAGAAAAAGAACAAAGACAGATAATCGTTACATTCTGGTTAAACCGTATGTAAGTCAGTGATGTTAAGTTGTTTTTTTTTTTTTGGTGTTTTATGACTGTTTGCATTTGCTTTGCATTTTTTATGTTACATTATATGGGAATAAAATCTGTAGAGTAAGTGTCATTCAGTCATTCATATAGAGGCAGGAAAAAGCTCATCATATCATCATATGCCCAAAAAGAAAATCTGCTAGTTTTTCCTCAACCTTTGTCTGTCTCTCTCTCTCTCTCTCTCTCTCTCTCTCTCTCTCTCTCTCTCACTCTCTCTCCTCCCCACTTCACTCTCTCTCTCACTTTTTTCCCCTCCCCTTTCTACCGTTCTCTCTTCTCTCTCCCCTTCTCTCTGTCTCTCTCTCTCTTCCTATCTATCTCTGTCTCTTGATGACAAAAATAAAATAAAATATATACATAAATAAATAGTTGGATCCTCCTCTCTCCCCATCTTTCCTTGCTATGTTATTGCTAAGAAACTTTGCACAACCCCAGAAAAAGGCCTTTGTACAATCCTGCAGTAAAATAATTTTAACACTCTTATTCTAAACTACAGTGAAATACAGGTGAATGCTGTTATGAGATCAGTTCTGCTTTTACTGTCATTTACATTACTTTTTTTTCTCAGCTGCTCTGAGTTCACTTACTGTTTTTCATCAATTGCCTAAAAGCAAACCTTTTTGCCAAATGTTTCAAATGATCTCCAGATACACACACACTGCAAATCTGCTAAATATTTTTTGCGTAACAGTGTCCTCACAAAGCACTGTTTTTCCATGTGTTATCAAATAGAAATCAATGCCATTCAATACAGAAAACTTCAGTTACTGTAATGAAACACAGACAACACACTGTTGTTGTGATTCACACTAACAAGCTGAATTGTTTACATGTATTTCTAAAGACGAAACAAACAGCAGTTTAAATACATAAAATAGGAATTCTGGTCCCTCTGTTTCTTGTCAGCCCAAGACTTTAGTTAGACTTTACTGGTCAAATGTTGATCTTTGATGGCTCAGTAGCATCAAAGTTTGAATTAAGTAGGCACTTGGGGTGTTAACACCCCCCCTCGCATAAAAGAAAAATTGTACTAGGTGGGGGTCCTATAGTTTTTCCTTGAATAAAATATGTTTTTTTTTACTGACAAAATGAATGAACTGACATGATGGGTAAAGATAAACCTCACAAAGATATATGATGAAAATACATAAATATAAATATATAGGTCACTTCATAGTCAGACTGCTCTGTTTGGGTCAAACCATGAACAGATTTTTCCTCATTTGAATACAGAATGAACTCAGTGACCACAGCTTCCAAAATTCTTTAATTCACTTCTCACTCAGTCTCAGACTTTAGAAAAACTGTGTTTCTGTAGCTCAAACTGCAAATGCTTGCATGCACTGTTACAAAACTGTTACACTCCAGAACTAAGCATGAAAATATACTGCATATCAGTTTGCTAAATTAAAAATACTATACCGGACCACAATAAACCCTAAATGAATGAATGAATGAATGAATGAATGAATGAATAAATAAAATAAAGGTTATAAAGACAAATCCAGGTATTGACCATCTATAAAAGAGGTCACTTCTGGAGTTATTTTGTTCACAACGGGCAGTCTATTATGAGTCCAGCACACCAATAAGCAAGGACATTAGGTGTAATGTGGATAAGAACATGAGGCCAAATAATGCAGAACAGGTAGATATAATTTCTTTACTAGATAATATAAATTGCTGTTTTTTTGTCAGTATTATTTTGTTTATTTCAACGCAACAAAATGTATCATTTTGTTTTGTAATGTTTTTTCTAATGTCATGAGTTTTTTTTCATTCATTGCAAAAAAATTATGTCAGTTCAATCTGTATCTGAATGTATCTGAATTCAATCTGAATAAGCAATTTAACTGGTTTTATTCAACTCAAATAAATACTGCCAATGAAACGATGCAAAGCAAAATTTTACTTGTGAAAAGTGAACTTTGGCAATTGTAAATTGTGATTCATGATGAAATAATGTACATGAATCAAGTAAATTAAATGCATCACTTTTCACACTGACATTAATGTTAAGAAAAACATTTTTAAGAAAAACAACAAGACTCTCATAAGTGACTGGAACTACCCTAATGGCATATTTTCACCAAAAAGTATAAATGACCTTTTATTAATAATGGCTGACTGATGATGGCAGACTGTCTCACTTTCCAGGGTGGACATACTTCATTCCAGGGTGGGACACAATAAATCAACTCTATTTTCTTTTTGTGTAATGAATTAATTTTTTCTATAGGACACCTATCTGTGATTTTTTACTTTTTTCCCTAAAAACTAATTTGTGTCTCCATAAATAAAACTGAACAATTTGAACGTAGCTCTACATTTTTTGTTTCTGTATCTTCAGTGCTCAGTTTTTACAATAATTTAACACATGAATAATTATACTTTTACTTAGAAAAAAATAAATAAAAATAATCACTCAAGATATTCAGAAATGTTTCTGCTTTTTACCACATTCAGTGGCAGACTTACCTACTGAGATGTTTAAAAAAAAGCATACAATAGATGCTACAGTGTGCCTACTTGTCCTTCCACCATCAGTAATGGACAAGCAATGATTCATGACCTTGTCTATAAATGTTGCCCAAAATTCCTTGAAAGTTTTTGAAGTTACCTCAGAACAGCTGTGGTTTGGCTCTGGACTGAACTGGCCACTATATTTATCTCTGTTTGAGGTGCTAAACTGCCTGCTTTAGTCTAGTCCAGTAGCTGTTCAGTTTATGCTACAGGCTTCATAGTCGGCTATACTAGTGATTAGATGAGAAATTACAGCTGTATTTTGTTGCCTACACATAAAATACTACAAAAGGCATGAGAGCATTCACTGTTAACCAGCATATCGATGGTATAGCATCATGTAGCTAACATTAATAAGAAATCAGCAGGTACATTAGGCTGTTTTTTGTCTGTATATGCAGCTGCCTTTCCCGTTAGCTGGGATATATTATAAACATTTAATTAATGTATGCTTAATGTGTGCTTTTTCAGGAATCAGTGGGGACAGAGATGCAAAAAAGAGAATATAAATTAGTATAGGTTTCGAAATGTATTTTCAGCTTAAACTAAACATATATATAAATAGTTAAGTTATTAGTTAGATAAACTTAAACAGGATAACTGGAGTAAAATCAGTTTATGGAACAGTAATAGCAGTTCATGGAAGAGTGCAGGGATGGGGAAGGAACAAATGAAAGGAAAAGGTGCATAACAGTGATGGATGTGTAAAAAGGAGCAATTATTTTGTAAAAAAAAAAAGGTATTACAGTTGGTGTAATACACATATTTGGCAGCTATTTTATTCACTATGAGATGTGGGTGAAATTTCTGCAAAACGGATCCTCACTACATTTCTGATCCTAGTTACGGCCCTGCTGACAAATACCCTGGCCTGGGGATTGACATGTTCTTTTGGTACAATGTTGCCTTTCAAGTGTAGGCAACATAGTACAAACATTGTACCATTGTAATTTCTGAATATTTGAGGTGAAATCTTTTTATGGCTAGTTGGGGGCAGGCAGAGGTGCAGTTATGTTGTACATTGCACTGAAATACCAAAAATCTGAGACCACTTGCACTGTTCCCACTTTCTCTGTAGCTCTACATCACACTTTATTTGAATGCTCAATTTTCAAATGGATGTATGTAAAACACATATACCAAATACATATCAAAGGACAAGTAATCCAAAAGTAATGTAAAGTAATCAGATTACTTTAATACTTTAGGTTACAATTACATTTTTAACAAGTAATCAGTAATCTGTAACAAAATACAGTAACCCTCCCCACCCTGCAGGCAACATTCGTTTTGTCCCATCCTCAGCTTAATCATTTATTTCACTTCAGTATTTTGTTTTTGGGTTATGTCCCACTCTCACATCAGACTTGGTCTACCTTGAATGAGTAGAGGAGTAGAGAGAGTACAGGATAGGTGATCCATACATTCCTAACATAACTGACAGCCTACAGACATATGCCACACCCTAAACCTGAAATTACACCATGAAGTTATCAAATTTTATCAAACGTTTAAAGGTGAAAACCAAAAATATCTGTCCCATCACCAGGGTTTTTTTTACCAGCTGTTGAAGCTGTATGTAAAACTCTCTGCTGACTTAGAGTGAGATTGAGAAGATAGTCATTGTTCAACAAGTTTATGTAACTTTGTTACATAAAGTTGACACTACATGCAGAACAAAATTCCATAATTTAGCAACTGGTTCACAAGCAACGTAACATAAAACATATATATAAATTTACCTATATCTCTTACATTGCAATTTTAACAGAGAGGACTAGAGAGAAGCTTGATTTTTAATAATGTATAGGGGATGGAATACCTTTTATGGATAACTTGGATTAAGTGATTAACTAGATTTTTACTAATAGTAAGGATATTTTTCCAACTCTGCTCCCAAGTTAACTGACTTGTGGATAATTCTTCCTCCCAAATGTTATTTGCAAGCTTATGGGATAAGTGAGCTTTGAATTAACAGACAGACAATCCATTAAAGGATGTTTGTTGATTTTAAGATTCCATGGAATACCATCGGCCTGTAAAGCACTTCTTATGCGTGGATGCAAAAAGTAAGACTGGCCAGGAAGATTATATGATTCTTGTAAGTCCTGAAAAGATTGTAAACCTTGATTGTTGAAAATAAGCACATGTCCACCATGATCAGACCAGGCCTTGGAAACAAAAAGCTTGCTTCCTGTTTGTTTGAAATTATTGTTCCATATTGGAGATTCTGCCAAGAATTTAAATGGGCCGCCCATAAATCTACAGACATCTTGCCAGACAAGTAGAGAGTTGGTCACTATGGCATTGAATTTAAGTTTTAGATCCTTTCTCAAGATATCCATAAACAATAAATCCTGTAGCCAATATGAGTGTGCAGACTTAGCCTCTATATCTCGCCAGGCCACCTTAGAATCTGCAGTCAACCAAATGGTAAACAAATGAAGCTAAAAGGAACAAAAGTATAACCTAAGATTTGGTAATGCAAGGCCACAGTCAGTGGACTTTCTTTTTAGGGTTTTCAGTCTAATCCTTGGTCTTTTCCAATTCCAAACAAATGCTGAAACTATGGAGTCTAATTCTTAAGAAACGGTTTTATGAAGAGTTGGATCATGGAGAACAAAAAGGAGAGTCTTGGGAGCATATTCATTTTAACTATTGAGATTGAGTAAATCCTGGGTGATTTTACTGATTAATGCAGAACAATTATTTTTAATAATAGAATGCAGTGAAGGAAAAATCTTAATTTCCAGATATGCTAGCTCAGAACCAATTGGAATGATCGGAGGAATAGGGATTAATTTGCTAGCATCTGTCAGAGGCATTAAGGTAGATTTCGACCAGTTAATTTTATGTCCACTTATACATCTAAAATCTTCAAATAGTCTAAGGCATTGAGGGCTAGGGACTGCTAGATTGGTCAAATAGAGCAGAATATCATCTGCATAAAGCAAGATGTGATGGCTATCATAATGAAACCTATGTAGAGAAATCGTTTCATCCTGTCTTTTGGCTTAAGCTAAAGGTTCTAAGAACAGATCCAAAAAAGCAGGCGAGGGAGCACATCCTTGTCTCATGCCTCTGCTCAACATGAACGGGTCAGATCTACAAACTTCTGTCATCATGGAAGCGGCAGGGTTAATATACAGGATTTCTATCAAATGGATAAAACATGGACCAAATCCAAATTGCTCCATGACCAGCCAAAGATATTTCCATTCTACATGATCGAATGCTTTCTCTGTGTCTAACGATAAGATGGCACAAGAATCCTTTGCAGACTTAGAACCCTCAATGATATGGAAAAGATGACAAATGTTATCTCAGGCAAAATGTCTCATTTTTCAGTAGCTATCCCAACCCTGTTGTAGACTACATCAATAAAATAAACGGTTGGGACCAACAAGCCTAGGCTCAGCCCCAACTATATATGCTGAGTCGTTTACTCTCCATAACCTTGATTAGAATTCAATCTGTGAGTTACCCTTGTGTGGAGCAACATAGTTCTCCAAGTTTGTCGGTGTCTTGAACAAGAGATGATCTTGGCCATGCAACACTTTGACTGTGGCAGAGTACAGGAAAAAAGACATGATTCCAAGGTGCGTGAGATGTTTCCTCTCTTCCGATATCGCTTTCAATTGTCCAAACGAAGAAGAGCGACAGCCCTAGCCCCTTTTAGCATTGCTTGTCTGTCATTGTAACCAAGAAGCTTGAAGATCAAGGTATGAGACCTGTTTCTAGAGGGCTTCTCCACCATAGATGCGATGTGCCCTTTCGATCTCAGTGGTCTTGCCTTGTAAGGAGGAGATCCATTTCGGTAAGTGAACTTGAAGAAACAAAATCTCTCCCTCCAGACCCACTCGCAGACCCATAAGCCTCAGGTTGCTGTGCCTGGACCTATCCTTATATGCATGTCACTGGCACAGTTTGCTAGCCAGAGTCCTTATTTATCTCCCTCACCCCATTTTACACAAGGTCAAATCTAGCATTGAAAGACGTTACATCTCTTTTTGAGAATGTTGAGCTGATCGGAAATTGTCTGAATTTCCTCACAGTTGATCAAAGCCATGCTAGTCTTGATCTCACTTAGATTTTTTCTGAAGATTCTCTGAAGAGATTCTGGTAAATCTCAACTTGGAGCAGTGAGAAACAAGACACATGACAGAAAGTCTGTAGAGGACAGACTAAATTTGTTCACGTTAAGCAGCCATCACAGCTAGTAGAGCATGCACACTCCATATGATACCACTAGTAATTACTGCATTATACTGTTTGGCAAGTAGACCTTATACACAAGACATTATAGCAGTAACAAGCACTTATGACATGTTTTAAGCCTGCAAAACTGGCAGTACTCCAATGTCTGTTTCAGTGTGAAACTATTATCATAATGAACTAGTTAACCAAAACGCAAAACACAATCATCGTTGGACTAACAAGATCTGTAAAATGCATAAAATGAATTCAGTCTCACCTTTTGGGTGAAAATAATATGTTCAAACAAACAAACAAAAAAAGGATCTGTAAACGACAGAAATTCACAAGGAACTGCAAGGAATCCAGTAATGCTTTGCATCCAGTGCTACAGTTTTCAGAGACAGGCCATGCCAGACGGCACAAATTAATTGTCACTTTGCTAGTATGCTTTGCAAATAATAGATTTTTATATAAACAGTTACTCAAAATTAAATTGCATTCAATATGTACTTGTTAAATGAAGATGGAAAGTGAAAACGCAACTAGTGAGAATCTGAAATATCTAAATGTACAACAAAGGGCTAGGTGTAAACATACATGTCAAATATATGAATAAACTGAACAAACTACCAATGTAACAGTGTGTCGGCAATTATTGTTAAGATGTGGTGGTCTATAATACTATAGATTTTGGTAGCATAAGCTCGTTCCTAAATGTAATTTCATAAGACATTCATAAAAACAGCTTTTTATTAATTCAAAAAGACAAATAATCCTGAGAGCAGTACTAGATTAGTTTAAAGATTAGGGAAACCCCCTTCCTATGATGTATGATGGGGGGAGTATATTCCCTAAGGGTGTATAGTATTTACACAGTGCATGCTGGGTACTGGAGTGAAACAACAGTGATGAGCAAAAGGATAAAAAGGATATTAAGTTGTGAACTTTGTAAAACAGATGAGGTTGAGGTTGAGGATGAGGTTATTACATAAAATGGCAAATAAAACATTAAACTTTATTTTTAGGCCAGAATGGTGGTTTACCAAAATATCTTACTTCAAACATAGCTGATCAGCCAAAACAAATTTGTTGTCTTAAATTTTCTTCTTTATTTTTGCACTGGAGCAACAAGGATAATATAACAGTAACCAGTCACCAAAAGATTAAGGCTTCCACTTCTTAGTTACATTAGCATTGTTAGTCCAGTACAAACAACTCATGTAACTGTTGTTATGAACCATTTATTTTAATTTAAATATCAAGACTATAAATCAAGCAGTTAAATGCCTCTGAAACAAAGTAGAGCTAAATGATACACAAAGTGCATAAACATTTCAACATTTTCTAGGAAGAAACGCTGAAAAGAAACAAGAGGAACAGACCAGGCTGAACCATAAAGTGCAAATATTTGAGAAAGTAATACAGGGTGTGAGCTCAATTATTCTCAGTTGTAAAGCACTGAGAAACCCCTTAACTGGTCTTTACAAGAGTCTAGTAGAACCTTGTGACCTAACCTGCCCGGTTTCCTAAACTCAATATTATAGAGCTTAAGGGATAAACTATAAAAACAAGCCCACAAGTAGCTGATATGTTTGAAAAGAGCAGCAGAAACGTGTTGGGTGATTTCCCATGAATCATTTGAACTAAATGCCTCATGTTTGAGCAGCTAGAAGAACAATTTTTAACTTTTATCAATACTTCCATAATACGGCTTGTATTTTTCCAAGGTATATAGTTTGTTAATTTACTAATCTTTCAATTTCAAGCGTTTACAGAAATTACAGTATAGACAGTTCAATTATAAAGAAAAACTGCTATCCATCTGTCCATAACAGCACAAACTAACTTCAGAATCTATGTTTTAAGTGTACCTCCAAGACCAAAGCATGGTTAAGTAAAAGTAATAGATGATGATTGCTTCATCTATTATGTCAACATGTTTAAGATAAATACTAAATCTAATATAGCTAAACTTCTAAAATGTAATAGGCAGTAAGAAAGAAAAAAACATTTTTTCTTACCTGTGAGTGACACTAACTCGAAGAGCACAAAGATCAGCTGCACTACCATCGCCATCGTGTGAGGAAGTGTCTAAAGCAAGGAAGTAAGTTCTATGAAGTAAGCTCAGGTTAATACCCCCATAGTTAACTAAATGTGTGTGTCAAATAAGTGAAGAGAGATGAACAAAGACACTAAATAATGTAAAATCAATGCAAATAATATGCATAACAAAATGTAATTCATCATACTGTAATGCTGAATGTGATAAAGCACAGTAGGAATCAACTGGACGTTCTGTGGAACATAATCAGCATCAGAATCTTCAATCATCATGCACCAGGTGTACAAAGAATTTTGTGCAGATGTCAACATAAAATTAAACCTAATTGAATAAATACGGTCAGGTCCATACATATTTGGACAGTGACACAATTGTTGTACTTTTGCCTCTATAACCAGCAGTTTAGTGATTCAAGTGTAGACTTCTAACTTTAAGTTTGGGGTTTAACACAGATATTGAATTAACTGTTTAGGAATTACAGTCATTTTTACATAGCCCCCCATTTTCACAGGCTTAAAAGTAATGAGACGAACTAACATAATTATAAATACAAAGATTATTTTAGTCCTTAGGTTTAAATCCTTTGAGGCCAATAACTGCCTGAAGTCTAGAACCAATGGAAATCACCAAATGCTGAGTTTCCTCCTTTGAGACGCTTTGTCGAGGCTTTACTGCAGCCACCTTCAGTTGCTGCTTGTTTGTGGGTCTTTCTGCCTTCAGTTTTGTGTTCAGTAAGTGAAAAACATGCTCAGTTGGCTTGAGGTCAGGTGACTGACTCAGTCATTTAAGCACATTCCATTTTCTTGCCTTAAGAAGTTTTTGGGTTGCTTTTGTAGAAGATTTGGGTCATTATCCATCTTTAATGTGAAGGGCCATTCTCTCAGGTTTGCAGCATTTGACCTAATCTAAACAGAAAGTATGGATTCATCTGTCCAAAGAATCTTGTTCCAGAACTGGGCAGGCTTTTTTTTAGATGTTTTTAAGCAAAGTCTAATCTGGTATTTCTGTTCTTGAGTGTTACTAGTGGTTAACATCTTGATGTAAACCCTCTGTATTCACATTCATGAAAGCATCTCTTGATTGGAAAATGATATGCCAACCTCCTCTAGAATGGCCTTGACTTGATTAGATGTGACGGGGTTTTCTCTCTCTCACACACACAGCAAGCTACCATATCAAAATTATTTTGAAATCTTTTCCCAAATAAAAAACAACTTGAAAAAAATATATAGGAGTCTTCGCAAGGTCAAGCTGCTAACTCCTGCATGTAGTGGCAGACTCAGGCTGTTTTAAGGGCAGAGGCGAAAAAATAAGTGATGCGTCATGCATGATGAAATAGTCTTCATCTTTAATTACGTTTAACATCATGTTATTGGGCGATCCACATTACACAGGGAACTCTAAACCTTTAATATGTTTATTTCACAACACTTTCAATGTAAAACAAAGAGGTAACTACTAACATTTGTGTCACAAACACACATAGGAATACATGATAATGTCAGTGTGAAAGTATAAAAATATTTCACATCAAAATTCATATAGACATTTGTGCAAATACCCTGAAATAATTCCCTTAGGGAAGGATTTTTACACTCCTGGTTGATTTTCAAATTAAGTGCACATGTTAGCATAGAATCAGCTAAGCAAGGTACATGTGTAGTTAGCTAGATCCTTAGCTAGGCATCTAGGCTAAAAAATGTGATACAGCTATCTATAAAAGCACTGTACAAAGCTGTGTACATACATTAGTATTTAATAATGCAAAATTGGTAGAACTCATTTTTTCCGGCCTTAAAGGAAGCTTGCTGTATTACCACCTCACACGCTGTAGTAGGCTATCAGGGTTACAGTATTACACCCCCTCTGACATCTGAACATTCTAGAGGGGTTGCGGCTAAAACCAAAATCTTAACTGGATTTCAAGTTCAGTTAACAGCTAAAGGTACATTGAAAAAATAAAAAAGAGGGACAGTGCAGATGGGATTACATCAAAATGCTATGTAGATATTAGCCTAACATATCAGCCCCTTGCAGAAACGTAGAAATGATTTGTTAGCAACCATACAATGTGTTTTGAAAGTAGACAGGGTTTGAGAGGTAAATTCAAAACCTTATCAAAGTATTTCGCAGCACCCCTAGACTGTCATCACAACACCCACTATGTGAAAGCCTGCGCTAGAGGGCAAAATGTAGGGGAGACCCCTGGGCCCCTCATCTCATTTTTTTCAAGGCACTTGAAAGGGCATATAAGAGGGCATGTCGGGAGTTTTTTCTTCAGAAAGGCACCTGCAGGGAACATCAAGTTTATCCCATTGTGAGGGCAACTGTATGACACCACATCACATTTTCTCCACTGGAGGGGCATCTATTAGGAAACTTCCCCACATTCTCAAACATGTAGGGACATCCTTTACAACACTGCATCACATCTGGGGCACTGTCATGTACATGGCAGCCTTTTCCATTCGAAGGGCACCCATAGGGAATTTCAAGTTTAGACCATTGTAAGGAAATCTTCCAACACAGTCATGTTTTCTCCAGTAGCAGCGCACTCATTAAGGTACTTTATCAAATTTTCTTGCTTTAGAAGATGCATCATGCATTAAGGGGTTTAGGATGCATACCACGTGTGTGGTGGACACACACACACAAAAAAGAAATATATATATATACACACACACACAAATGTAACATTGCTCTTTAAAGGCAAGTACTTTTTATTGAACAGGCAGCATGCACTACTGAACAGCCAGGATAGCGGGGCAGGTCATCAATAGCCACACAACTCCAGTCCAGGGTGACACACAGGTACATTTCAAACCAACAACAACTTATCTACAGATTAAAGTCTCTTTTACTGCAGCTGTGGCTCCTCCTAAGAGCTTACTTGAGAAAGGTCATAAGAAAAAGTCTACGTCAGATTCATGACATGTTCTTTAACCACATACTGTTGAACCTTTGTGCTCTTTCTTGTGTGTAGATTCTGTTCTTACCTAAGAATAAATCCTGAATAAGAATGTCAGAATCTTTGTGAAAACCGTGTAAGTAGGTTTTAAGATGTTTCTTCTAATGAATGGTTGGGGAATGAGGCTGAATATTCCTCAAATAAAAATATGAAGTGATTTGGATATTTCCCTCTCTAACATAGCATAATGAAAAAATTTAAGAAATCCTAAGGAATTTCAGTGTGTAAAGGGCAAGGGCTCAAGCCTAAGCGGAATAACCGGCTCTCCAGTCCCTCGATGGCTGTCATTTGTCTACAAACAATATAACCTCATGGGTTCAGGATTACTTTGGTAAACCTTTGTCAAGCACTATACAATACATCCACAAATGTCAGTTAAAATTTTACTGTGCCAAAAGGAAGCTTTATGTTAACCATGACCAGAAGTGCCATCGACATTTCTGGGCTTGGAGGCATCTGATATGGACCATTACCCAGTGGAAATGTGTTGTGGTCAGTTTTACTGTATTGCAAGAATCAAAATTGAAATGTTTTTATTTTGGAAAAAAGAAAAAAGACTTTCCTGATTTGGGGTTGTATATATATATATATATATATATATATATATATATATATATATATATATAACAAAAAAAAGGCTGGCAATATGATCATCATTACGTAGTAGATGTGTAGTATCATACCATAATCTAAAAAAGAAACTTAGCTCATGTTTCAAATGGATGTCTTCAAGATAAACTGCTTCTGAGCCCCGAGGCTACCCTTACCAAAAACCACATCCTTCCTGTACACTGCCATGAGCCCAGAAAACCACTGTTTCTCAAGTCTGAAACTGACAGTTTACTTCTCACAGCAGCTCTACAGTACTGGTGCCAATACAAAGAGTCAAGAATGAGGGTTCAATTTAGAGGAGATGAAATTAAGACTTTAGTGACTGAGATAACTGTCAGAAGTAATAAGTAACCATGGCTGCTCTATATATTAGGGAGTGAATATGAAAGATAAATAGATGAATATTTTTCGGTGGACATTACTTGGTTTAAGGACCCCATCTATGACTGAATCTGCCCACCTGCTGGCCTTGTTCTACAGCTTTCCTGGGTAGTACTGCTGAAGGTGGCTGTTAGATCAGAGCTTCAGTTAGCTTTAAAAAAAAGTGTGGGCGTGCAACCACCGAGTCAGATGTTCCATTTTATTTTATTAAGCTTCTAGTAATGACATTTCATGCATTTCATTTTGAGCTGGAAGAAGTGAATTACCTGTCACAATGTGAGCATGTATGAGAGGAAAGGGGAAGCTATTACAATAGCAATAGCATTTTCAAGTTCAGTAGTCTATTGTTACTCTGGAAATTCTTTAACCTCACCATCCTTTCTAAAGGCCAGAAAAAAATAAACTCCTAAGCCTCAAACTAAGGTTTTATAATTTAAATGTGAAGCTTAACAATGTCTTAACTCTAGTCTGACAGTTTTGTTCGAATATGTTTTGTGGTTAAGGGCTCTCTCTTCCTCTTTCTCTATTTCTGGTTTGACCTTCCCCTCCTTCAAAAGCCCTGTGTGTTTTTCATCTTTAAGGGCTCTTTCTCACCTACATTGTTTGGCATGGATTTGTTTAATTTCTTAAATTCGATCTGTTTTGGTAGTTGTGAACCTGCCACCTCGCCTTGGGTTTCCACCAAAGAACTGAACTGTGGTCCAGCAAAAATTTAGATTAAATTTAGATAAAATATTGAGTGTCAGTCCTCTTCCAAATGAACCCTGCTTCAGTTAACTGTGTCCATAGGGAAAAGAAATGGCCATGTATGTGACATACATTTCAAATGTATTATTTCATTTCAACATGTATGTCAAACACTGAAGTACATTAAGCATTGTACATTAAGCAATACTCACAAGTATTGTGTAAAATAGGGAAAAGAGTAATTTTAAAAGTGACAAATGGAAGTGATAATACAGAAATAAACTCGCGCTGGCTTCAACTAGACACAAATTTTTGTCTCGTTTCTCCACTGATCCACAGATCCATAGGTTCGCAGTGCTGCCCAGCCTGCATACCACTTGCTGCTGGCCCAGATATCCCCTAGGTCTGGCGCCGGCAACACATACTTGCTAGTTAACCATCTGGTATATACAACCTTCCAATGAGCACTTGAATGCAGCAGAAGAAACACTGATTTAAACAGCTGCAAAGCTCACCTATTTGACCTTCTAGTGGACACTGCTAGGCTAGTTAGCGATAGCATCTGCAAACCTGAAAGTTGGTATAGCTCTGTTCAGAAGCTAAGGTTACCTAACTAATATCCTTGAATTTCCAAAATATTTGTTTTACGCAGGGTGACACATGACTCTGAACAAATGTTACATTAACAATTATTTAATAAATATGTCAAAACAATGCTCATAATGTTGGACATGCCAGCAGAGGCCTATCTGGCAATACTACACTGAATATGAAGTGCTCCACCATGTTTGAGACAGATCATGCATACTGGGCTCATAGTTGTGCAGTGGTGTGTTCAGAAGACCTGTCACTCCAAATCAGTTGACCAATAGAGAGTGCAGGTAAATGCCCTCTTCTAAGACCTACTCAACTCTGAAAATGTGCCAAAAGTCAGAAGTAAAAATAAAATTTTAGACACAAAAAAGCAATTCCAAAAAACTGCATCAGCAAAATCGTCAAACAGAAAAAATTAAAGACTGACAAAATGAGCAACACATTTATATGAAAATTAGTGAAAAAGAGAAGCAATGTTTTTTGAAAATTAAGTTTAATTTAACTGTCATTATTTGTATTTGACACATATTTATTCTTTGATATTCAGCATTTTGCTCGTGGATTTTTTTTTTTAAACTTTTGGTTCAAAATTACCTCCATATGTGCAACGCTTGTGCAGTGGGCATGTGGGAAAAATACAAACAAGAAATAAATCAGTTCAAGAAGACATGCCCTAGTAGATGTAAAATTGGCAACATAATTCTAACAGTTAAAAGATACAATGAAGCAAGAGTAGTAACATTAACTTCATGCTATTCTTTATCTTCATATTGTCTTTTGAGAATAAAGCAATAAAAATAACTTAGGTTGGATGTCATTAGTGATGCATATTGCTTATTAATATATGTGGATATTGTTTGATTAAGATTTATCAAAGGTGTCAGTACATGATGAAGGTAATGAAAGAGTGCCATATCACTTTAGCACAGGAGTTTCACATTGGCCATAAGCTTGTGAAGTGGGTATGTGGGCAAAATACAATCAACCCAACAAATAAATCAGTTCAAGAAGACATGCCATAAGAGATGTCAAATGGGTAACATAATTCTAACAGTTAAAAGATACTAAGCAGGTAGCATACCATATCACCAAAGCAGCTATAATGAATTAGACAGTATGAAGATCAGAACGATGGAATACAGCAGAGTCTTCAGCAAACACCAAGATACACCAGCAGAGGGAGCGTTGGAGGCTGCACCTGAAACACACACAACAAAACCCATTGTTGTATTGAATATAGTGACCAAATGTAAAAGAACTAACTAACAGATTTGTTTCAGTCTCTTTGTCTATCCTATTCAATTCAAATGTCTTATTGCATTGATTAAACAAAGATCTGTCTTTCAAAAATTGTGAAAGATATTTAACATCTTGAGCCTGTGTATTACCTGTTTTATTAGAGTGGAGAACCTGACTTTTGCTCTCCCACTTTTTATTAACATGAAAAATTGTCTTCCAGTGTAAATAGCTGCATGAGAATGAGTTTAATAAAATCATCCTGATTTTTGATGCTGAGACTAGCCAAAACACAGAAAGCAGATTTATAATGAGGTTTGACCATCTCTGTCCCCCTGGGCTAGACTAGACAGGCCAAGTTTTTCTCGATCACATGCAGCTGCATGGCATTTTTCATGCAGTGCCTATTATACAGAATATATATATTTTTTTTTTTTTTAATTAAATGTGCCTTTGTGATGGATTTGTTTAATTTATTTCAGAATTCTGCCTTACAGTATGTAGGAATGCATGAAGACATTTATCTTACTAAGATCTCTAGCTAGGACTGAATTAGGATAATTTATTAGCATAATGCCTGAATCTATGACCATTATTTAGCACAATAACAGACCCTATCAGACTATTTGATGATCTACAATACAAGAATCATGAGTAAAGTCAAGTAAACTTTACATTTTCTCTTAACAGTGTAAAAGGTGAGCAAAACAGTCATGTTTCATGAGTCTAAACTGTAATTTAGACACTTTACTGCAAGCTTCACTCAACATGCTTACAGGCAGTCACATTCCTCAACCGTCTTTCTAAGGGCTAATGCCTAAAGTGGCCTTATTGGTACTTAACTTTCTAAACATTTTGCTCTCTAATAGCTCTGTAGTTACACATAAATAACATATAAAAACACTACTGATGATTTAGTCACTGTTACAGATGTTCAGCCTATGTAACACATGAGTATCAACTTCAGTTTTGCCTAATGTAATTACACAAGCTTATCTCCTACATAAGGAACTTTCTTGTAGTGTAATGTTAAAGTTACAATATTAAGTAAGTGGACAGTTCCTGTGTAGTTGTTATGTAGGTACTGTGTAATAATGGAGAGGTAATATAGAAATTGCTTTGGAGGTAATGCACCACATTTAATTAATGTCATAAAAATTACATTTCAAGATAAGGGAACTGCTGTACTGTCACATATACATACAACATGGTTTAAAGTTGAAACTGGTTACAATGTCACAGCACTAGCACCATAAATGCTAGCTAAAAGTTAGATAAGCTTGCAGATACAGTGTAAGTAATGTCTTAATGTAAGTTATTACATACTTCCTTTTACAGCTAAAAAATCTCCTAAAAATGCTGTCCCAGTCTGATTACAAATGTGATTACATATATGCTATTGCCATTGTGTAATTACATGAGAGAATAGGCTGATACAACTATTAAGATACACTTGTGTAATTACATGAGGCAAAACTGAAGTTGATACACATGTGTAATTAAATAAGGTGTACTTCTGTAATCCATCTGTAACAGTGACTAAATCTTTAGTAGTTACATTGTTGTTGTATATGTTGTTCACATGTAAGCACACAGTTATTAGAGACACTTAATATAAAGTGGGACCTTTAGCTGTTTTACACTGTTAAACATATGTATGTCAACTGTTTTCTAGCAAATTCAATTAGCTATAAATTGATGAGTACAGAACACGTCATTTTTTATCCCTTCACTGACTTTTGTAAGTCCAGTTGTTTTAATAAGTCCAGACAGCAGGTCAGGGATGTCATTCATTGGCACCTGCTGAGCCACAAGTCTCTGCCTCTGAACAGGAGTTAAAAACTGCACCTGTGCACTTTGCAATCAGGATCCTCCTCTTTTTCTCTTTCCGAGCAGTTGTCCTACCATCAGGTAGTTCAGAGTTTAGCAGAGCATTAAGACCTCCCCCCATGAGTAGTTGCACTGGATTATAGCCATTTTGCAGCAGTGTGGCTCTAAGGAAGCAGAGCTATTGGTCTACAGTGTTCTTCAGACGAGACTTTACAGTTTTTACGGTACACTCAGTCTCACCATTGCTTGGGGAAACTTAGGGCTGCTTGTAATGTGGCAGAACCCATAGGATTCAGCAAAGGTTGCAAAGGCTAGCCCAAAGAACTGGGGCCAATTGCCGGTCACCAGGGTCTCCGGAATTCCATGCCATGCAAATATAGATTTAAAATCATAATCATATTCACGTACCTGGAAGGAGTTAAATGGGCATCCTCCACATGGAGTAGTAATCCACTGCTAGCAGGTAGGTTTTTGCATTCCAAAGCATAGACAAGTCTGATCCTAACTCCTGCCAAGGTCAGTAAAGTAAGTGAGGCAGCATCAGTGGTTCTGATGCTCCGTGATGCATGTTCTGCAGTTGTGCAGCATTTTATTTAGCTGCTGGCTGGGCCTGGCCACCATACTGTTTGACGTGCCCACTCTCTGTAATTCACCAGCCCTTGGTGACCTTTATGCAGTTTGACTAGAATTTCATTTCTCATTAAGGGAGGGATGACAAGCCTTGTTCCTTTCAGTATAAGGCCATCTTGTACTGTGAGAAATACACGTTCTGGCCAGAATTGTTTCAAAGCAGATTCACTACTCAGGCCATTCATCAGTGCACAACTCTGGACATAGCTCTGGAAAACACACTTTCTCTCTTGAGTTACTTTCTTAGGTGGCCAAGCTAGGTAAAACTCACTGGCAGATTTTACATGATGCAGTCTACATATATACAACCCCAATTCCAAAAAAGTTGGGATGCCGTGTAAAATGCTAATAAATATAAATGAAAGCAGAATGCAATGATTTGCAAATCTCAGACCCATATTTTATTCACAATAGGACATAGAACACATATCAGATGTTGAAAGTGAGACATTTGACCATTTCATAAAAAACATTAACTCATTTAGAACTTGATGGCTGCGACACATCTCAAAAAAGTTGGGACAGGGTCACGTCAACCATTGTGTAGCATCCCCTCTTCTTCTAAGAACAGTCTGTAAATGTCTGGGAAGTAAGGAGATCAGTTGCTGGAGTTTTGTGATAGGAATGTTGTCCCATTCTTGAATGTTGTCCCATTCTTGGTGTGGGATTCTAGCTGCTCATCAGTACTGGGTCTTCTTTGCTGGATTTTTCATTTCATGATGAATGCTTTCTGTTGGTGAAAGGTCTGGACTGCAGGCAGGCCAGTTCAGCACCCAGACTCTTCTTTTGCGAAACCATGCTGTTGTGATGGATGCAGTGTGTGGTTTAGCACTGTTTGCGGAAATATGCAAGACCTTCCCTGAAAGAGACGCTGTCTGGATGGGAGCATATGTTGTTCTAAAACCTCTATATACTGCTCAGCATTGATAGAGCCTTTCCAGATGTGTAAGCTGCCCATGCCACAGGCAGTAATGCAACCCCATACCATCAGAGATGCAGGCCTTTGGACTGTGTGCTGATAATAAGCTGGATGGTCCTTCTCCTTTTGAGTTCATAGGACACAATGTCTGTGGTTTCCAAAAAGAATTTCAAATTTTTGACAATTTTTGACATTTGATGACAAAAAAAGTTTTCCATTTTGCCTCAGTCCATTTTAAAAGTGCTTTGGCCCAGAGAAGATGGCGCCGTTTCTGGATCATGTTAACATATGGCTTCTTCTTTGCATGACACAGCTTTTTCTTGCATTTGTGGATTGCACGGCGAACTGTGTTCACAGACTATGATTTCTGGAAGTGTTCCTGAGCCCATGCAATGATTTCCAATAAAAAATCATGCCTGTTTTTAATGCAGTGCCTTTTTTACACAGGTAGGTTAAGGTAGTGTTAGGAGTCTCGCCCAAGGACTTTTATTGGTATAGTGCATAGTGCTTGCCCAGGCAGGGGATTGAACCCCAGTCTACAGCACAGAAGGCAGAGGTGTTACTCACTACACCAAACCAACCACATTTACATTTTACACAGTATCCCAACTTTTTTGTGATTGGGGTTGTATATTTGTCTTCTAGGAACTCTGTATACAAGGGAGAAGGGCATTTAATTTTTGTACTCTAAGACGGCTCAACAGATGTTTATGGTCTCTTTCCAGCTGAAAGTGCTTGTCAACAAGGAAATCCTGGGATCTTTCACATGCCCATGTTAGACATACGCCTCTACCTGGGTATGTGAATACATTTGCATCCATTTGCTCTGTCTGAGTAAGTGACCATGACACTGGCCACTGGTTTGCATTCTTCTTTCCACCTTTGGAGAGGAACTGCTCCTAAACCATAAGAGACCTTGCAGAGACCTTGCAATCCCTGTTTGGCTCATAAATGGCCAGCACAGGTGCAGATGCCTCTTTCAGTGTTTGGAAAGCTTTGACCTGTTCAGTGACCCAAACCCAGCTGTTCTGACCTTGTATAGTGGATCAAGAAGTTCTTTGACTTTTTCAGCCAACTGAAGAATGATTTTTTTTATATTTAGGCACAGAGGCAATGCCACAGGGCAGCCTCCTGAAAAGGGAGTGGACAAAGGGTGTTATGAGTATTGTATAGTATGTACTTCTCCCGACATACTGAGTCATTACACTCGGTGAGATCTGTGCATATCCTCACAGAGCTGGACTTTCTGGGAATACAACTACACCTGCATACCAATCTGTTGGGTCTCCTACTTTGTTGATTACTCCTAGCCTTTCCACATGTGGCAGTTTGTCTTTGACTTTAACGGTAAAGGGATTTTTCTGGGAGTCTTAAAAGAAAAAGGAACAGCCCTTCGTTTCATCTTGAAGAGCACGTGACTGACAAACCTCACCAAGCCCACTGCATAGCTTTGGATTGCGTGTTTTTAATGTCTCAATGTCAATATTGCCTAGATGTGCAACCAACCCAAACTTTGAGATAGTTGGTCAGCCTAGTAGGCCAATATGCAGGTTTCTAATTATATACTTGTCTCCCATAGCAGGCAGGTGACACTGACAACAACTAATAGAAACCAACCTGGTCCTAGCAGAGGCCTCGCTGCATCCTTGAGAACAGGTAGGTCTGAGCTACTGAAGATTTCTTTAAACAGGTCTTGACAGGTCTTGGTCTAACTGCATGCATTCAGACAGTCACGTATCTGTTAGCCCCATTAAAAGTATCACAAATTAGCTCTTTATGCAACACTCCATGAATACAATATTCAGCCAAGGCATACAAAGCTTTGTGATAAAAGAATCAACTGTTTCATTCTCCCCCTGTTTGCACATGTTGAACCTCTGGCTTGTAAATGACATTTTTCTTGCCAAGGAAATGAGCATAGATGCCATTGTGCACATCGCTGTTCTTTTTTTCCTTTGAGCTTCAATTAGGGGTAAGCTACACAAAACATCATCACCCATGAATTAAATTCATTAGGTTCTTAACAGAGCATTTGTGCAGATTACTTGCAATCCTGAACTGGATGAACTGTTAAATCCATTTCTCCCAATCCTGGCTGGATGCTGAATGCAGATGCTGCTGCTTGTGCTGCTTATAGGAAAGTGAGAATTTGCAAGAGACAGACACAGCTCAACCACTCAGTACTGTGTTACTGCACCTGTTACTAGAGATTCTGTTGTTTCCTTAAGATGATTGCATTGCTTTGTTTAATCACGTGTTTAGTGCCACCTAAATCAAAAGCTTAAATCTCTCCCACTACTTCAGGTGATTTTGTTGGCAGTGTTTGTGTCTGTATGTATCTGTGTACACACCTTTATCAGCACAGAGTCGTTTAAGTTCTCCCATCTCCAAATCATCCTTCTTCAAGCTGACTGGGTTGCTATGGTTACAGATGATGGTGCTGCCACTGACAGACAGGGAAAGGGTGATGCCTCCAGGTGATGTCACTTCCTTCTCCTCACAGGTTTCATTATAACAGCTGGAACTGATAGAGAGGTCATGACCTCTACAGGTGAGAGTGATGTTACAGGCGTCTCCGTTTAGCTGGTGAGTCAGGACTGGAGCCTCCACTGGATCTGAGGTAGAAGATATACAGACACATCACTGTAATGCTGACAGTCAGTCAATGATAAATCATTCATCACAGATAAGAAATCATTTAAAGCTGGTGACTGTAGCGGTTTTCATCTTTCAAAGTAGCTGAGGTCCTTTTCAACACTGGTGATGGTCTTGATATTAGATCTCAGAAACAAATGAGTAGAAAAAAAAAACAGCAACTGAATTTTTAGTGTTTAAAATCAAGCTGGTGGATTGAGGGTCAACGTTAAACTATGTTTTCTTGGAACGTTATAGTTAAAATCAAAAGCTGATTAAATAAACAGGTCACTCATGCTGAAGATATTACACTGACCTAGTTTCAGTATTGCTGTTAAAAGAAAATTCCAATGATTTCTCAAAATTTCTGCATAAATAAATCATTCATTAAATAGACATTCACTGTGAGCTGATGGGAAATACGCTGTTCTAGAGGAACTTTGGTTGGAATGTTGGTGATAGGAACCAGACATCCAAAGCAGTTAATGCCTCTAAAGGCTGCCTCACACAAAATGGTTACAAATACATTATGTTTTATTATAGTTTTGAGATAAGGTCTTGGCCCTTTAGGCCAATATTCACACCTGACTCACAGTTGACTTTCACACACACCATCAAAAAAAGTAGCCAAAGAAATTTTATTTTTCAGATGTACTAATATTTTACTATAATCAGCATTCAGTGGTTGTTTTGGATAGTTGTGGCTATATTTGTGTTGTAGACGTCATGACGCCTCATCCTTATCATCAGCACTAAAAAGAAATTGGGTGAGTTTCTGTACAATACGCCATTTCACACTTAAAAACTTTGTTTAAATCTCAACAACTGAGTTATGCTGAATTTTTAATAAATCTGTGATATTACCCTTTATTCAGGCCATTTGCAAAAACAGCTGACTCCTTATAGTCACAAGACTTTTCTTTAAGTGAGTCATCAGCTTGTCAAGGGGGAGTGTCTAAAGTAGCCTACAGAGTGGATGAAAGTGGATGCGAATTAAAAGAGTGTGTTATACACAAGAAAGCATAACCAGCATGCAGGTCTTTTCACTGTCATTTCTTTCAGCATTTGACACTGCCTTTGTATTTGAAAATAATGTTTTAAAAATGTATTTTATCTACATTAATCTTTTAATATGGAGAAAGACATGAACAATATGTAAATAGATGGAATCACAGAGCCAATAAAATCTTTGAATAACAGAAATCATTACAAAAGATCCAAAACAGTTAGGTATTGTAGGATATATCCTATTTCAGGTACAATAGGTTTAATTTATTTGGGTATGTGTCTCATGATAGCAAGTGGAAATCCAATGAGAATGAAAAGAAATACATTTCACTCTATTTTATTTTTTTCACTTTGATTGGATTAACATTTGGGATAATTGCATTCTTTCAAAGCTAACAATTTACATATATTTTAAAATGGGTGTATTCAATTAATATCAAATTCATTTGTTTTCCTAACATGTAAAAGAGCCATGTTAAAGGGCCAGTTTAGGCACAATTTAGTGCCTGCCTTACTTTCTTCATTACTTTATATCAGAGGCGAAGACCACAGACAGAGAGCTTATATCCTACATTTTTCTTGCATTTCAATTTTTTTTCCTTAAGGTTCGACTGATGATGTTCATGTAGGGTTGCAAAAACACTTGTAATTCATCTTCACATGGCCATTTTCCTTATAAGTAAACAAACACTGTTTATTACTGTTACTTTAAGACTGTTATATGAAAATGAGCTTTGTTCTGATTGGCTGCTCTGTTTTGTGTCTCAAACAAAAACTTCACTGTTAATGGGTGGAGCTAAACTGCTGTAGGATGAATAGGTGGATATAGCCAAATGCACTGGGTTTTGTGACATCACAAAAACAAAGCATTCAAAATGGGCTGTTTTATAAAGTTCCTTTATCGACTGTATGGACTGATGAGTGAATGATACATTTTGAAACCTTACATGACCTGGATGGCTTTCTTTCTGAGCAGCGCTCAGTTAAAAAAATCAACTTGAAGCAGACAAGTAGCTTACAGGAGAGTGCACTTTGCGTTTTTAGCCTTCAGAGAAACTCAATATAGCACATGATTAAATAAAGAATAGATAAAATTACGCCATCTTAATAACAGCAGTGTTGTGTCAGGACTGCATATTTCCTCTCACTGACTGATTTTCTATAAGACTTACCCAACACAGAGAGTCTGTGCTCAGCAACAACTACACTCCCTGCAACAGATGCTTGTGCTTCATACAGTCCACTATCAGTCTTCTGTAAGTTCTTCAGTGTCAGACTGTAGGTTTCCTCATTGAACTCCACTCTGCCTTCACCAGAATACTGTTTAGTTTTTTTAGTTGTTTTATAATATTTTATAATATTATCATCTCCATTCAAAACCCAGGATAACATAACAAACTCAGGTACAGGATCCTGTATGTCCAGTTGAACAGAGCTGCCAACCAATCTGTACACATCACTGGACACTGTAAAGAGAGAGGAAAAAAAGAGAAAATATAAGAATTATTTTTGTTACATTGTGATTGTTCCTTTATTCTTGGTTGCACTGTGGCATGTTAAAGACTAATACAAACTTAATACATACAATAATACATACAGTGAAGGCAAGCATGTGTTCAGACACTTTTGTTTTTGTTATTTAATATACAGTCATATGTCTGTTAATTATCTGTTTTTATGTCTGTTTTATTGATTTTCTAAGTGACAGTAAGTTACATATCCTCTACAGAGAACACACAGTTCTGCACATTTTAATGCACAATTACTGTTACTTTGAGAATTTACCATATTGGATTTTTTTGTAGTGTTTGTGTACTTTTGTACCTATCTTACTTTTTTTTTTTAAAAATAAATCCTTGTTTATGTTTATGAATACGTACCTTTTTTTTTAATTAAGTCCTTAAGTAAGAGGACATTATGTGTGTAAATTGGAAGTGAATGTTAAAGAGCAAAAATGTGTGTAGATTCCTTGTGTACATTATGTGTTTAATGATTATGGTTGATGAAACTTGCTTTTAATTTATTTATTTAGTTCACCAGTGACATTAAAAATGTCTACATATGTCATATGTTGTACACCAGGGGCATGGGTATGTAAGGAGCTGGGGCTCAGCTATGTATCCTCACCCGTTTTAATCTGTAAAATGTGCAGTTGCTACTTTTTTATTTAATATGAGGATTTACACATCAACAAAATGTGCGGCAATTTAACAATGTTGACTGGCATGCCCAACAAAACCATTAAAAAAAAAAAAAAATGGAAGAATGAAAAACTGTTTGTAACAGAAACATGAAAGCAGAGAAGTTATCTCCATCTATAGTTTTAACATACTTTAAAAATGCAGAATAGTCATTCAGTAAAACACTTATTTATTAAAACCAATTAAGAAACAATATTTTAAATCTAAAATATGATGCAGAATTCTATCTTTGTAATTTTTTGTGTGTCCGGATAACTGTTGATGGAGGTCTGCAACCGAGTGCATAGGGTCCAAGAAAATATGAGTAATAATAATATATCTCTCTCCCATTCAAGTTTCAAGTTTATTTATCATTTGCACATGTCAGGACATTTATGCATTAAAATGCTTGTGGTGAGGCTCAGGTAATCACTCTACAGAAAGTAAATAAGTAAAAGTAAAATATAAAAAACAAACTGAAATATATTAAATATACACACAATATAGAGACAATATACATTATAGAGTGACTCAGTGTTATTGTTCTTTAAAGTGACTTAGTGTTAAAGTGTTATTGTTCATATCAGAGATGATATTATATAATAATAATGCTGACAAAGTGACTGAGTGAAATGGTAGTTGGGGAAGGACCCACAGCTTCACAGCTTGTTCAGAAGCCTGACAGCCTGTGGGTAGAAACTGTTCATTAGCCTGGTTGTTCTAGCCTGTATTCTGCGAAATCTCCTGCCTGATGGCAGGATGGTGAACAGGCCGTGTGCTGGGTGACGCTGTCTGACCGGATCTCTTTGATTTTCCTCAGGCAGCGGGAGTAATAGATGTCCTGTAAGGCTGGTAGTTTGTTACCTCTGATGGCTTCTGCCATCCTAACCACTCTTTTAAGGGCCTTGCATTCGTGGGCGGTGCAGCTGCTGTACCAAACAGTGATGCATCCTGTGAGGATGCTCTCTATGGTGCATCTGTAGAGTTGGTGAGGAGGCAGACTAAACTTCCTGAGCCTACGCAGGAAGAAGAAATGCTGACGGGCAGATCTCACAGTAGTATTGGTGTGGAGGGACCAGGTGAGGTCATCAGTGAGGTGTACACTGAGGAACTTCACACTGCTGACTCTCTCCACTTCTCTTCATTGATGAATAGGGCAGAGTGACCACCCCTCTGCAGCTTCCTGTAGTTCATGATTATCTCCTTTGTTTTGCTGATGTTGAGACAGAGATTGCTGTCACGGCACCACTCTGACAGAGCACCAACCTCGTCTCTGTAGGCTGTTTCATCTCCATCAGTGATGAGTGTGGAAGAGAAGCTGTACCCAACTTTCACCACCTGGGGTCTGCTCGTCAGGAAGTCCAGTATCCAGTTGCAGAGATGAGAGTTCAAACCCAAGTCTGTGAGCTTAGGACTGAGTTTGGCAGGGATGACTGTGTTGAATGCTGAGCTGTAATCTATGAACAGCATTCTTGCATATGTGTTCTTCCTGACCAGGTGTGTGAGAGCAGTGTGTATTGTTAACTCTCTCTTTCTGCCACTATCTCTTTCTTTGAGGTGGTATTTGAAAAATAAATAAATAAATAAGAGACGCACAAATATTTACGTAATACAAATAACTAATCACTTCACAAATGTTTTTGGGATTCACAAACACATTTTTCCTGTCTTACTTTGTGAAATCGGTTGTGTTTATTTGTAGATCACTCCAAGTGCATTTACATCATACAGCACATGTTCAATCTACCTGCATTCATTTGTGGATTTCTGAAACTGTTCACAGGCACATCAGTTGTTTTTTTTTGGCTGGGTATACTCCAGCCAATCAGAATTTAACACAGCCTTTTAGTAATGCCCACATTACCTTGAACAATCACAGCAAGCATGTACTTAACAAAATAGCTCAAGCCTTACAGAGCCTTGGGAACAGAGTATTGTGCAGCTTCAGAGTGATTTGGAATCATCAAAGAATCATGCATTTCTTAGAGAGTTTATAAGGAGCAAACACGAAAAATCGTTCTTCATTTCCTTTTACTGCTAACTTTAGCTTCACATTGTTAAAGTTTTTCATGTAGGAAAAGGAAAACATGTTGTTCCTGTCAGTGTATTTTGAACTCTCTTTGCAACTTGCTCATTGGCAATCACCAGTTATTAACATTAGCTAAATAGACACCTAGAGCTCTGTGACGGCAAAACAACCAATCATTGACAAGTGATCACATTTGCATAGACACTAATAATATGATTGATAAATCAATGTGAATAAATATCTTTATTTATTTTTTTTATTTCTACTGTCCCATTAGATTTTGAGAGGAACCAATAAGGTAACTTAGATAATCACATGTGAAAACTTATCACAGGTGAGTGTTATAGCCTGCTGTGTTAAATGTTAGTCTGCATGTTAGCTGCGACTTTATCTAGTTGTTTTAAAGATAGGTTATCTGCCGGTTTTAGTACTTGTCTGTATTACTTGTCTGAGTGTTATGCTTCTAGACTACCTTTTACTTTCAATGTCATAATGGAACTAGTCTAGTCTATGGATATGCTTCAAAATGTAGGGCCTCAAAACTAAAGCAGAAAACACTGTTCTCACACTGAAACAAGTCTGACGTTTTTTTTTTTTTGTTTGTTTGTTTTGGATGTTGATAGCTACTTAAGAATTTTAAAGTAGTTCAGAACTACAGAGTAAAAAAGCTGATACAAGTTCTACATACCTAAAACCAGCATCACATTATGTCCTTATCTATTTTAGTGATCAAGAAAATCTGATTAAGAAAACTGTCAGGTAAAACCTAAGAATTTATTATACTAGCATTACATGTCTACCAAACTTTCACAATCACAATTTTACAGATTTAAGTATCTGTCAATAAATATCAAACTTTGAATTGAGACATGATTATTCTGGGAGCCATGGGCAAGCAATCTCATGGATTGGTTTATTTATGTATGTATGTATGTATGTATTTATTTATTAATTTATTTATGTTAGATCATGTACCTACACATAGCTGACAGCCATTCTGCCACAGTCCCTTCCATCTTCTGTGCATCAGAAAAAATTGGGTATCCCGCAAGGTAATTTTACAAAATTCATGAATGTTACAAAATTAATGTTACTAAATATGATAGAAAGATTCCAAAATCCTGCTCCTGGTAGCCCACAGCACTGTACAGTTTCAACACTACGTTTTAATGAGTTGGAGAGCTGGATCAGGTGTATTGAGTCAAGGAACCAACCTTTAACATCAGCAAGGATATGCAGCTCTTGCGGAGGATCTTTGTCTAGCACCATTTTGTGATGGTTGTGGTTCAAGTCATCTGATAATTACCAGGTTCAGTAGGTGTGTTTGAGCAGAGAAATCACCAAACTGTGCTTGACTGTCATATCCAGAGCCAGAGTTGTCCTGAAATAAACCAATTGCTAGAGTGCATCCACTTTTATGGCCCATTTTACTTGTGTGTGTGTGTGTGTGCATAAATCTGTGACTTCAGTACTGGTAGAAGTACATACAACCACATTTCCTAAAAAAATTGGGATGCTGCATAAAATGTAAATAAATACAGAATGCAATCATGTGCTAATAAAAATAGTACAAAAACAACATATCAAATGTTGAAACAGAATTTCTTTCAAAAATATATGCCCATTTTAAATTTGATGCCAGCAACATGTTTCATAATAGTTGGGACAGAGGCAACAAAAGACTGGCAAAGCTGTGTAATGCAAAAGGTTATTCGGCAATAGGTCAGTAACATGACTGGGTATAAAAAGAGCATCTCAGAAAGGTTGAGCCTTTCAGAAGTGAAGATGGGGAGGGTCTCACCACCCAAATAGTGCATCAATTCAAGAATAACATTACTCAATGTAAAAAAAAGCAAAGAACTTGGGGATTTCATCATCTAAGACACATAATGGATCAGAGAATCCAGAGAAAAATCTCTCTATGCAAGGGACAAGGCTGAAAACCAGAATTGGCTGACAGTGATCATCAGGCCCTAAGGCACCAATGCATTAAAAACAGACAGATGATTCTGTACTGGAAATCACTGCATAGGCTCAGAAACACTTCTGAAAACCACTGACTGTAAACACAGTTCATGGCTGCATCCGCAAATGCAAGTTAAAACTTTGCTATGAAAAGAAACCATACATAAACAGGATCCAGAAACACATCTGGGGTCGAACCCATTTAAGACAAACTGAGGCGGAAAAGTGTCCTCTCGTCCAACAAATCAAAAATTTAAATTCATTTTGAATTCATAGTCCTCTGGGCTAAAGA